TCCTCCCATGCCAGCTCGGAAGGGGCCTCTCCCAGCCGCCAGAGGCAGAGCACACAGCTAGGGACAGCCCCTGGGCAGGGGGCTCCCCCCCACAGCCAGGGATGGGGATCCTAGCCCTCTCCAGCCCCACAGGCGAGACAGGGCAAGAGTGACACGCGTCAGAGAAACCCATTCACCCCTCCCCTTCCCCACAACGCCTGGGCCCAGCCCCTGCTGCTCTGCCCACATGCCCAGTCCTGCAGGCACAGCAGCCACTGCCAGGCCGGACGAGAGCACAGGTGACAATCCACATTGTGTGGGGAGCAGCTGGGCCCAGTCGCCCCTGGGGGGCAGAGAGGAGGAGGGACAGCCATCGCTGGATCCCAGCCATGCTTCTCCCCCTCTGAGCACACCCTCCAGCGGAGGAGCTGTTCCATCACTGATTGAGTCAAGCCCCTGGCTCCCCAGGGTATGAGGAGAATTCAAGGGGAAACTGAGGCACAAAGGGGTTTCTGGCACAGCTAGGGCACCTATGGTCTATGCCTGGCAACAGAAATAAAGCCCCTCTCTGCCGTGGCCTCGGCGAGGGCTCCGCAGCTCCACGCACTCAGAACAGGTTGAGTTGGGTGCCCTGGCTCTTCTCTTCACCTCCAAGCGCACAGAAGGGCAGGGCCCGAGTGACAGCCCAGCACCAGGCTCTAGCAGGACAGACGCTCTCCTCACCGGGCCGCTCAGGTCACGCAGCCAGACCGTAGCAGAGTCCACACGAGACTCCAGGGCCTTGGCTACAAGAACCAGGCGCCAGAACAGATGAACCTGGAGACCCGTCAGCAAGCAATCCAAACAAGAGCTCAGCGAGGGCCTTGGGCCCCGAGGGGGCAGTCGGGCGCTGGGCAGGGGACGGTCACGGGACTGTGCTGGAGACAAGATAAGTCTCCCAAACTGCCATCCAGCACCAGCTGCTGTCACTGGGGAGTGCCTGCCCCACCGCAGGGCCCCACACAGGGCAAGGGGCTCCCACACAAGCCGGGCATCACATGCGGGCCCCTCTCATGCCCTCCCACCTCCCCACACTGCTGCCCTTCCCAGTAACCCTCCAACAGCTGCCACCACCCTGCCCCAACGCCGTCCCCTGCAGGTCTCAGCAGAGCTCCCCTCCTCCGGGCATCACCCGGAAAGCGCCTCCTCCATGGAGCCAGTGACGAGCGTCTGACTGCAATCGCTCCCCTGGCACCGGGCAGGCCTGCTGCTCTCCCGACAGCCGTGTGAGCGCCTGGTGCCTTCCCAGCACAGCCCCGCTGCTACCTAGCAAACCAGGTGCCCCAGCTCACCCCATGGCTGCTCCCTCCACCGAGACTACGCTTCAGTGGAGTGTCACACCCCCGCCCACTTCTCCCCCCAGCCCAGGGTGCACCCCCGTGCCCATGCCCCCTTCCCCTCTCAGCGCAGGCTGTAACACTGGCCTCATCCTGCGCCCTGAGCTCACCTTCTGCACCCACACCTCCACCGCCGCCCCGCTCGGGTACACCACAGCACCTGCTCCCCCTCCACTGGCCTGGACTACGGAGCCCCCCGCAGCTCTCCGCCACCGCCCCGCTCGGGTACACCACAGCACCTGCTCCCCCTCCACTGGCCTGGACTACGGAGCTCGCCGCAGCTCTCCGCCACCGCCCCGCTCGGGTACACCACAGCACCTGCTCCCCCTCCACTGGCCTGGACTACGGAGCCCCCCGCAGCTCTCTGCCACCGCCCCGCTCGGGTACACCACAGCACCTGCTCCCCCTCCACTGGCCTGGACTACGGAGCCCCCCGCAGCTCTCCGCACTGCCCCAGCTTCGCCCCGCCCCGAGAGGATCAGCCACACCCCGGGCTCCCCGCAGGATCTCACTCCAACTGGCTGCACTATCTGCTGTCCATTGCCTTCCCCTCTGCTGATCTAGTGCCAGCTTCCTCCATCCCTTCACGTCAGCTCCCCTCCGTGGGGGCGACAGCCGTCTTCTCTGCAGCTCCCCGCGCTACCGCTCTGGCTGCCCGCTCCCCCACCGAGTCTGGGGGGGGGGGTCGTCCACTCCCCCTGAGCCGAGCCTGGGGGGGGTGGTCAGTCCACTCCCCCCCGCCGAGCCGGGGGAGGGGTGAGGGGGGTCGGTCCATCCCCCCGAGCCGAACCTGAGGGGGAGAGGGGGGGTCGGTCCCCACCTTGCCACCCAGAGCGCACTCCCACGGGCTGGCTCCCAGACACGCGCAGGACGGACAGGCCAAGCACCGGCCCCCCGAGCCCCAGGGGGTGCCAGGTCTCCAGCCCCCGCCGCCTGCTGAGACGGGACGTTCCCCCCAGGCTGACTCAGCTTCCGGCCGTTAACCATTTCCCAGGATTACTGACACAGCACCTCGGTCACCAGCAGTTTGGCCTTTGGAGCGCCGGAGCCAAACCCTCCCGCTCGAGGCCAGCGGCCGAGATGGGGGAGGGGGGAATTAGCAGTCCAGCTGTGCCTGGCCCCACAGCAGAGAGAGCAGCATGGGGCCCTTGGCAGCATTGTCCCCCAGAACCAGGCTCTCCGGGCCGCTGTGCAGCCCAGGGCCCTAGCTGGAGGACTCCCACCCCACGACAGCCCCAGTGTGTCACCCTGGGTGATCGCAGCCCCCATCTCCAGTGCAGTCCATCGCTAACTCCCCGCTGAGCTGCTCTGCTTGGGGTAGCCAGGGGGCCAGGACTGCCCACGGGAGGGAGAGGGGAAATCCGGCCTCCCTGCTGAGGACAGCCCAGCCCAGCCCAGCCACATAGGCGGCAGCCCCGCCTGCCCGGCCGCGGCCCCAGCAGTGTGCTTCGGAGCAGACCGCTGGCTGGCACCCACTCAGGAGCCCCCCCACTTCCTCACCCTGGGTTGGGAGCTCTCTGACCACTCCAGCAGGCAGGGGGGCCTAGGGTGGGGGTTATTACTGCGGGGGGACTGCAGACGCCTTGCCCTGGGACCCAGTGTCTGTCCAGCAGCCGGGGGAGAAACAGGGCAGAGGAGGGCGTGCTGCTGCCGAAGGAGCCAGTGGTCCTGGAGCTACCTGCTGCTGGGCACAGCAAGTGGATAGTGAAAGGAGGGGGATGGGAGGTTTCTGTCCCAGCCCGCAGGGTCCCTTCCACAGGCACGCTAAGCAACTCGACACACGCACTAGGAGGGAGCTGGAGCAGATGGGGAGCGCTGGCTGCTCCAGGGCAGAGGCCCTGCAGAGAGGGGGCAGAGCGCTTCCTGCTGTGCCTGGATTCTAGCAGCAGAGAGCAGGGCAGGGCCACCCGAGCGGGCAGGAGCCAGAGACCGGAGCCAGACATGCACAAGGCAGCTGACAAACAACAGCATCAACCCCTGTCCCTGGCAGCAGGAGCCCAGAGGCCAGGCTCAGCAGCACAGCTGAGCAGGGCAAGGCAACGGGGCAAGTGGCAGAGTGCGTCTGGGGCAGCCTGCAGAAGGGACTGATGCACGCCAAGGCCAGGGATACGGTCAGCAGCAACAGGACAGCAAGCTTGCCAGAGCCGCACCACGCCAGGCACAGAGCTGGGGAGTGGCACCCCCCTCTCACCTTCCGGTGCCAGAACAAGGGGGGCGGGCCCCTACGGGGCCATCACATAGGCGGGGCATGGCAGACCCCTGCTTCCTAGAGAGCGAGCACTAACCCTGCTGTTCACTGGGCAATGCATGTCCCCCATCGTCAGGCACTGGTGGGGGGGCTCGGCAGGGGCGGGAGCTGATCCCCCAGGGTCCCTGTGCCCCCCATGGGAGCAAGCAGCAGCCGCCTCAGGAGATTTGGGCCAACACACTGCGACGCTCCCCACCTCACTCAGCCCCACGCAAAGCGTCCTGGTGGGAGCAGTGGCTGGAGCCCAACGCACCTGCCCTCAGTGGGGAGAGCTTGCAATCCCAGACAGGGAGGGGACCCCAGAGCCCCCCTTAGCCAAGAGCTCAGCACGCAGCCAGGGACGCCGGGCAGGCACTCACACAGGGCGCTCCCAGGCCCTGTTATCTCCAGGCACTGGGGTGACGGGCGACAGGCCCTGCAGCCAGCGACCGGCGCCAAACGCAGGGGCTGCAGACACAGCTCGCTCAGGCCCCATGGTCTGGAGCACCCCCAGGCCCAGGGAGCTGGCCAGCCCAGGCCTTTCCACTAGACTCGCCCCGTCTCATTGCCCCCATCCCACACAGCAGTGGGCTAGGACCGCTCACCCTTCTGTTATGCCCAGGCCTAAGTACAAACTAGCACTGCTTAGCTTCAGCCACGCTCACGCCGTTCCCAGGCCCAGACCTGGCCCAGGGGGTCTCTGGGGAGCAGGCAGAGACGTTTTACCTCCTGAGTTACAAACAAGCAGCCTCCCAACCCCTCCGGCTGTGCCAGCCAAGCTCACCCGATCGCATGCCCATAGCGCAGCAACGCCACCAGGCACCGAGCAAGCCAGCAGCTAGGAAAGCAGTTTCAAAGGAAGTGTAGACAGGGCCGAACAGCCACGGCATTGATCTGCCTCCACCATGGGGAGAGAACTGGTCTCAACCAGATCCCAAACTGTGCCAGAGCCTAGGTGCACAAACGTCCCATTTACACTGCAAGACCAAAGCATGGCAGGGCTGTACCTGAGTCCCCCCCAGCCCAGCAACAGTTACAGTGTAAACAGAAACAGAGCCACAACCCCAGTGGGCAGGGCCTGACTCTGGCAGCAGGCTGTACATACGTCCTGCCCAGGTTGTGCTCTGGAAATTACAGGAGTTGTTTCCATTTCTTCGTCCCATCCTGATTACAGCGGAACACCTGACACACACTCCCAGGCACCCAGAGTGCCCCAGCGCTCAGCCAACCACCACGCGCTACAGCTGCCACGCTATCAGGGAAAGGCTCAAGCAGAAAGGTGAACGGAGCAGTGGTTTCTCTTTTCTTTCAGCAGGGAAGGTCTGAGCGCTCTGCGGAGAGGACGCGGCCAAGGTCAGGAGCTACCGAGGAGATACACACGCACGTTCCCATGGGGCTGCCCCTCAGGAGGGACTCACCAGTTTCCGGAGGGCTCCCTCATCCATGCTCAGGAGGTTCTCTTCAGACATGCTTGCCTCCCTTCACGCCAAATGCAGGCCTGGTCTCAGTGACTGCACTGTTCTGGGCAGCTCTCAGGGCTGGATGCTGCGTGGAAGCGAACGGACGGGAGCGGGCCGTAGGGCCCGTGCTGTTCTGGGACTGCCAGCTCACAGAAGGAATTCTGCAAAGGAACAGATTGCAGGATGTCAGCGAAGCTGCAAAGAGATTCCTGGATTTATTAAACCTCTGACGAAAGGCAAATGGGATCAACCTACAGCTGTTTCACTGGTTGCTAATCCCAGGGCTGGAAACAGAGTCACTCTGAAAGCAAACCACAGCACACTCCAAGATCCTCACCAACACCCTATGCTCTGCCAGAGGCAAAGCCTGAGCTGAATGCATCCGTCCCACTCACACAAGGCTTCCGACTACTTCTCCAGCACTACACCCCACGTTCATGCATCCAGATCTGCCAGCGCCCCTTAACCACGCTCCCTCCCCAATCGATTTATCCAGAGACACCATCCACCCACCCACCAACAACACCTCCTTTTTGATCAGGAAGAGAGATTCCCCAAATACAGCTTAATCTTATTAAAACCAAAATAAGAGACATTCCACCTCAGAGAGGTGCAATATTTGGGCATAAAGAACTACAACCAGAAAGGGAAGTGGCCAATCATATCAGTTACCCCCAGTTTATTATTGTGGATTGGCTGGTCCAAGCATACCCACCTTTTTAGTACTGACCAATTCCCCCTGCCCTGCCCATGGTATTTGTTGCCCTCAGAGTTTAGTGCTGGTGAAAGTCATCAGGCTACTAGACAAAGTGGAGGACTCTGCTCTGGGGCGACAAGGAGCCCGTCCCATCCACAGGCTCTCCGCTGAGCCAACTCTGGTCGCCAGTGAGCCCCAGCTGTGAGGTGGGTATCGAGCTCATTTCACATAAACCACCGAATAGCCATTGGCAGCTTTCAGGCATGGCTTGTCTCAGGTCCAAATAAACTAGTCCTGTGGTGAAAGGCTGTATACACCCACTCCTACCAGGTTCTACGCTGGCACTGGCCGGGGTCCCAGATTTCCTTAATGCAGATTGGTTCTATGTTCGCCCCCCCGAATGGACTAAAGGAAGTAGGAACTGCCAAACCAGATGAGACAAGTCGCTCATCTCTGACAGTAGGCACTACCGGACGCTTTAAGGAAGGGAAGGAAAAACCCACAGGGCAGGGCTCTGGAATAGTTTGCCCCAGGGAGCCAGGGCTTGGTTTAAATGAGAGACTTTCCCAACTTTGGGGTTTGTTTGGGTTGGGGGGAGGGGTTGGTCAACATCTTTCCCTCCCCTCTTTAATCTGGATTAGCAAACAGCACCCCAATCCAAATTTGGCAATCTCCCCAATTGTACAATCCAGATTAGAGACCACCCGACCTCCCACCCTGGGATTAGCCAGATCCACCAATTCCTTAATCCGGATCGGAGAGCACCGCCCCCATCCTCAACTAGGAACGGCCAGTCCTTTAACCCACACTGGCCGCTGCCCCTCCAAACCCTCAATCCGGATTAGTCAGTGCCTGCCTCCCCTCTAATCCGGAGCGCTCCCCCGCGCACCTCTCGTAGCGTTGCTTCGGCCAGGCCATGAGCCCCAGCCACGTCCCGGCTCCGCTCCGCTCCTGCCGCAGCTAGGACTGAGCGGCGCCCGCCGCGCCAGCCCCCAACCCCCGCCTGCCAGCCCCGCCCACACACCCACTCCCACCAGTCACCAGGCGCGGACCGCCCAATCCGGCTCACGCTGCTTCTCCATTGGCTCATTTCAATTCATTGACCTCCCCGCCCCGTGGCCAGAGCCCCGCCCCGCCCGCGGCATTCTGGGGCGTGTAGTTCTGAATGGCGCGGGGCGGGGCTGGGCTAGGGAGGTGCCCGTGCCTGGGGGTTGCGGGACGGGGCACGCTGTACTATACAGGGATTGGATGTTGGGGGGCTGAGGCCGCACTGGGGGGAGGGCATTGGGGGGGGGGCTGCCTGTTCTGGGGGCGGAGCCTGTGCTGGGGGGGCGGAGCCCGCGCTGGGGGGAGGGCATGGGGGGGCTGCCTGTTCTGGGGGCGGAGCCCGCGTTGGCATCCACTGCCCCACTATCTCCCGGACTTGTTGCCACTCCTCTCCGTGTCGCTGTACTGCTGCCCCCTGCTCCACTCCCCAGATGCCTTGTCTTTGCCCTTCGTCCCCGCCTAGCCCGTCCCTGCCCTCCATATAGACCCTTACCCAGCCACACCTCCCACGCCACCCTCCGGCGCCCATTGGCATGTTCCCCACCATGCCATCGTGCTCTCTCCCATGCTGCCATATGTGTGGGAAAACACCCGCAAGGCCACGCCTTGAAATCACTCTTTAACACCCCTCTCTGTGTGATGCCTACAAACCCCATGCTGGGGGGGCTGTGCTCGACAGCGGGGAGCACTGGGGAATGGCTGTGCGTAGGCGCTGGTTTGATGGTCTCTGTGTGCGTGACCAGGGGCTGATGCTCTCCCAGGAGAAGAGGCCTGATGGGGTGGAACCTGTGGTTTTTGTGCTGGGCTGCCACACCACATCACAGCCGGCGAATGGGGAGAAGAGCCAGCCCCTCTGTCGGGTGAGCACTGCGTGGTGTTGGGGCCCGGATACCACAGTGATGTGAGCAGTACAAATTGCAAGAATCCAGACAGCCAGCCAAGGACAAAACCAAAGTGGAGCAGGTTCAAAGGCAGCAGGGGAAGAAGTGGGGTTATTAGTGGCACAGCACAGGCAGATACTGTAGAAGATTCCAAAAGACTGTGAGAAATGTTGCAACAAATCTGTGGCCCCTCAAGACTTTATTGTGCTACACTGGCCATTTGAAATCCCAGGGTTACAGCCGGGTATGGACCTCTGCTCCTTCTACCCCTTCTGTGGGAGCTAAAGGAGAATCTCCGGCAGCTGTTAGTAAAGCAGGGATCATGACACACAGCTGTGGCGCTCTGATTCTACCAATAGAAGGCGGTGGGGTGGGAGGGGGCAGGTGCATGCCTTGGCTAACTGGGTAATTATAGCACTTTAGTAGCTCGTCAGGTGTTCAGTGTGTTTAAAAACACTAATTAATGCAGCGAGGTCACAGTGCTAGAAGAGGAAGCCGAGGTCCGGGGATATCAGTGATTCACTGAAAGTCACGTGCTGAGCTGGGGGTATGAGGCAAGTACAACTTATGTTTGGGCCACCCCATCCTGCTACCTTTCCTATAGCAGCCCTGCCCCCCGGGCATTCCCAGATCCCAGTGGCCCAAGGGGAATGGCTAGTAGTAACAGCCAGCTGGTCTTTACATTCCCTCCTGCAGCCCTCCCTGTCTCTCTCTTGTGAGAGGGTGAGCAAGCCCCAGTAGCCTCTCCAGTGCTAGGCCAAGGGGCGATGCCCTGCTAGGGAGTGGGGTGGAAACTATCCCTGCCAGAGTCAGGCTGACCGAGGGGCCCTCTTCCAAGTATGGGGGGGCAGGGAAGTGGACTGTCAGCAGAGTGGGGGCTAGCGCCCATGGCTGGGCAGGCATCTGAGCAGACTGGGCTGGGCCAGCTGTGTATCTGGGGGTTGGGAGGCTGTGAGAAGATGGGGGTATAGCTGTGAGGCTGGGGAGATCTTAGGGAGACAGACCGAGGTTACCCGCTGGGGTTAGGGGTGGGGAGCTTGGTCCAGGGCTGCTTCTATCCCCATCTCTGTATCTGGGTCAGGCTGTGCAGAGAGGGTGGCTCCCTCAGTCCCTCAATGCCGTGGGAAGGGAATGTCCTCTGAGCTGCAGGTGTCACTATCCCCATGGCAACCTGCCAACTGCTCGCATGGCCTGGGAGGATGCTGCCCGCTCCTAAGCAGCACTTGCCATCTCCTCCTGCCCTGCCCCTGAGCAGGGGGACCTGGGGGCTCTGGGTCAGCAGAAGCTACCCAAGGGCAGCAGCTGGGTGCTGTGGTGACACAAGGGCTGGGCAGGGTCTCTTGGCTCAGCCTTGCCTCCCATGTGGGGAATTGGGCTGGGACTGCCCTGGAAGGCTCTAGTCTGGCAGCTCCCTGCTCCCAGCCTGGCTTGTGTTTATTTGGACTAAATATGGAAAGTCAGCCCTTTATTTTGAGCACCAGACACGCCCCCGATTCCAGACTTTGTTCTGAACTCCATTGCCATGACTTTCACCCCTTTGCTGCCCTCTCCCTCATCTGCACCTAGAGATCACAGCCCTGCCAGTATGTGGTGGGGGGACGTACGTCCAAGACCACAACCCAGGAGCTGCCTGCGCTGGGAGCACAGCGCTCTTGGCTTCATTTCATGCCTTCTTCTGGAGTGAGTGGCCTGGTGACTCAGCTCGAGGTCTGGGGAAAAGGGAGAGGGAGCAGACAGAGGGTCTTGCTCTGTGCCTGCTTCTATGGCAATGGGTGAAACCCATGTGAGGGAGGGGCCTGAAGCCAGTGCTGGCAGAACCCCTTTGCACGGCTGCAGGTGCATTGCCTGGGGAGTCATGTCCTAGGTGTCTTGTATCTGCCTGGGGCTGTGTGGTTGCTTCTCCATCAGTTTTTCACCTTCATTCACCAGATCTAAGAGGTCTCTCCCCCAGTGGGCAGTGTGGACCTTTGGCAATAAGAGGCTCCCCACAAGTAGGGCCTGATCTCCTAAAGGGGTGCTGGGGGGGAGACAGCAACTCATGACCTGAGGGCCTAGAGACCAGGTTAGGGATCCACGTTCCAATTCATACAGCTATAGAGCATCAACCGGCAGCATCTCGCGCCCTCCCTGCCCACTGGGGGGTGTGGCTCTGCAGCCCCCTCTGGGGATGCTCCTAGGTTCTCCACTGCATGCAGTCACAGCACTGATCCACAGAGCTGCCTTTGCAGAACGGGACTCGTCCATCTGCCCCCAGCGGAGGGGGCATGCCCTCCGCGTATAACCACCGAGCCCCTTTGGCAGCTGGCCCAGAGTAGAGCTGCCCAGAGGCGGGGGGCATTGTGATGAACTGGGACTGTTCTTAATGTGGTCTTTGAATGCTGAGTGGGGAGTGTGGCTGGCTAGGACGGTCTGCATTGGGGGATGGGAGACTGGCCTTGAGGGAAGATACTGGAGCATGTAACGTGAGAACCCAGGAGGGGGCTGGGGCCAGGTGACACCTTTGCCCGGGAAACTGAACAAAGGCTGGGGGGAGAGGCTGGGGGAGAGACGCTGGAGGGAGTGAGGGTTGCAGGAGCTGGCTAGTAATGGAGGGACCCTGGCCGGGGCTCTGCCCCCCAATGGGGCTGTGGTGCCCCTGGGACCCCAAGATGGACCTGAGGGGGTCCTATTGTCTGTGCCTCCAAAACCTGTCTTGGACTGTGTTCAATAAATAAACCCCCTGCTTTACTGGCTGGCTGAGAGTCATGGTGAATAGCAGGAAGCCGGGGTGTGTCTCCCCCCACCCCCACTCCGTGACAGGCATCCACTGGGGTAGCTGAAACCCCCCTCCGCCCCCACACCAGAGCTGCACTTCGTCTGCAGCCCTGGATCTGGCCCTCTCGCCTTAATGCTCCCAGAGATGATTAAACCTGGCTCTTTGCCGTCCAAAAACCTCCTCCTGGTTCATGAGATTCCGCCACTTCCTGCCTCTCCCTTGACTCAGGTGCAGAAACCTGTTTGTCCCGGTCCTTGCACTCTTCAGCATATTTCCCTTCCCGGCTCCTTGTGCGCTGGCCCAGCCAATGCTGCAGGGGGTGACTGGTTTGTTTAAAAAGAAACTCTTTCCATTGGAATGAGAAACAAACACTGAACACATCATGGAAATATTGCCGTCCTGTGCCGTGTTTGCGACCGCTTTTTACTAAATCCCACATTTGGGTGTAAATTGGACCTGCAAGTGTCCCTTTAAGTGCTGGTATTGTTAACCATTACCCTGCTGCTCCCCAACAGACGCAGCTCGCTTAATGCACCCTCTTGCATGGCCTCAGGCTGTCTACACTAGAAATGCTGTGGCTGTAGTGTAGACATTACCATGGCTGGAGCGGTTCTTCCCTGGCTGTAGTAAACCCACCTCTCTGAGAGGTGATCGCTGCATTTAATGGTGTCTACAGCGGGGCTGAGGTCAGCTTAACTATCACCCAAGGCATGACGTTTTTCACAGCCCTGAGCAACGTAATCAAACTGCCCTAACTGGTCTACAGACTGGCCCGCAGCGATGGGAAAGATCCATGAAAACCCAAGTCCCTCTCCCTGCAACAGGGTTCCTCATCTGTTCTCTAGTCACTTGTGCTAGGTAGTTTAATGTCCCAAGTAATGAGGATGCACCCCTCTGGCTCGGTGCCCAAAACCCCTCTTCTTCCTGGCTTTATCAAGAAACTGCAGCCCAAGTCATCTGCCCAGGCATGGCTGTTTCCTAGGGCTTCAGATCCAAGATAGACCTTTCCCTGGCGCCCGCTCCCTTTGCTTAGCCAACAACTGCCACCTGTGCCCAGGAGCCAATTAGCAGCCCCTGCAGGGTTCCAACACCTGGTCACAGGATGGGCCAGCTGCAGTATCCCCCTTACGCATTACAGGTGCCCAATGAGGGTTACTGCATTACCTTAACCAGGACCATGTCCCAAGGGGCTCCTCGCTCTGAGGAAATGTTCACTCCCTCCCATGCATCAGCTGACTCTCCTTTTGGCATTCCCCAACCAGGGTTCTAACCTTGCTAGGTCTCTTTGGATCATTTGTCTGTCCTCCTGGGTATTCACATC